GTCAGAAGTTCACCCCTGATTGAAGGCCTTCACACCGTCTGATCCAGCTCAAATTTGGAGACCTTAAAGATGGAAGTATCAGCTTTCCAGTGCACTTTACAGCTTGGCAATCCAACGGTTCAATCAAAAGATACGCGAAGAGCAAGATGTCTCGTAAACCAGCCGGCAAGCACTTCCACCCGCGGCCAACAAGCAATTTCCCGCGGTCAGGAGCATCCTGACCGCGGCAAACCACTCATCCACCGCGGTCACACTTGTGCCGACCGCGGAAATCAACCTCCGAGCCCAAAAAGCCCATTTATGAAGCCCACATTTGGAGAAACCCTAAGTGACGTCCAGAGAGGTCTTGAGCACTATAAATACATGTCTTAGGAGCCCTAGAAATCGTGGAACCGAATATCATCTATCATTACTTCATACTTTTATTGTTTTTGCTTTAGCTTTTAGGGAGAGAGAGATTTGTTCTCTTGAACCCTTGTTCTTTCTTTTTCAATTTCGGTTTCTACTATACTTCTTAATAATATGTCTTTGATTTCGTTTATTATGTCTGAGTAGTTTTATTGTTGGGATTAAGGGATTTTCGATGGGGATTTATATGTTCGATGAGGATTCCATGAGCTTTTGAGCCGAATCTTAGAACTTTTTCTTCTGAATTCGTTTTTACTGCATGAGAGTAGCGTCATGAACTACAATCTGATCCAGATGCTTGGTGACACGAAAGTGTTCATCAGGTATCAGATCTAGTTTGGGAGAGCAAAACAAACATAGGAGTGGAAACCTACCTATGGGCGATTTGTGAATTAGGACGAGTCTTAAACATAATGCATCTCTTCTCTTCCAGGGCCAGAGTGGAAACCTACTGGTCAGGGTTGAGAGAGATAGTTGTCTATGATCACGACAGTGGCGTATTCATACGTCTGTGACTCCAGTTCGAAAAGGTTAAACTAAGATCTTAGAAAATTTCCTCTCTAGCAATGTTTTGAATCGTTCGTACCCCTGAGAAAACTTCCCTGAAGCCCAACGCCTTCTTCCTCATTCATTTACACCGTTTTTTCTTTAAAGCTTTAGTTCAATATTGTCTTTCCTTTTTAGTTCATTTTCATTTAAGCTTTAGAATATCCGCTTTTATCATTTTTAGTCATTTTCATTAAGTTTAGTTATTACGTCATTTAATTTCCGTATTCTCTTTTAATATTTCGTTTTTACATTTCAAACACACTACCAAACCCCCACTAAACCGTTTTTGTTCTAGACTTCCTTACTTTAACTTATTTCAAAGGCTTTTTGCAGGAAAAGATCCTCCTTCCCTGTGGATTCGATCCCTAAGTACTACAATCGATCAGCTGTGCACTTGCGGCTATTGATTTCAATTAGGGTAAAACTTGACAACCCTCGACACACACATCAAGTCACCACATGAGAGTTCTGACAGTCTGGATTTATCCAAAAGAGTCTTTTTGTTCGAATTTGCACCTCTTTAGCCCAAATTACCTGAAAAGTCTTTTAAAATCCGAAAACATAGAAATCCTTTGAAAACCTTTGAAAATGGAGTAAAAACATCTGCAAAAGATATTAAAGCAATCCATAAAAATGGTCAAAATCCTGTGTTATCACCAGACACGAGGCAATGGCTAAGTTACAGAGCCGATCCGATGATTCATTGGATACCCTCTTTAATTACGAGGCACGATCTCAGGGCGACAAGGCGTTTTCTTCGACAAGCCCCAGAGATGATGGCGAGGCGAATCCTCGTGATAAGTCGACTGGAGACGACAAGGCGAATGCTTCAACAAGCTGTTCTCACGTTCTCACCCCCTCTTGAGACTAGATTGATATTTTCGCGGTGAAAGCCGAGGATGAGGCCTTACCTTTTGATCCAGCCGAGGCGAGGCGCGAGTTAGAACGTCTCATGGCGAGCCGTGGTGCCTAAACTTCAGGACGAAACAGAGCTCAGGAAGTAAAGGCAAAGGCATGACCCAGCTGGTTCATCCTTTTCCTGCGCGGAGTCTCTGGAGGCTTTGCGAACCCGCTTTGGGATCTCCGAGACGGTTGAATTCGTAGTACCGAGCCCAACTGATCGTGCTCACCTTCGGCCTCCTAAACATTTTATGGTGTACGAGAGTTTCTTCGAACTCTGTTTTCTTGGTTTCCAATTCCCGAGGCGATTCTCCGATATCTTTGGAAGCATGGAATTTCTATCGGTCATATCAGCCGAGGGGGCTGCGGCATATGATCGGGATTTTGGTGCGGAGCTTCGAGTGCCACGTCGACATCGGCCTTGATTACTTTCTGAACTTCCTGGAGATTCGCAAGGCTCATATGGGAAGAAGGTTTTACATTTTGAAGAAACCGAGGCGTAAAATCATATGCGGCTTTCCGAGCAAGGACAGCTTTTGGGAAGACATTTATTCTACGTTCTTGTTAACAAGGCGTTGGTTGGCGACGACTTCATCAATTTGACCAAGAGTGATTGGGGACCACTTGGTAGCCGATCCGATGTCTCACCTTGGTTCGATATTTTTATTTTCTTTGCACCAATTTTTGACTTGTGTCTTTTATATTTTTTGCTGTTCAGAACATTCTTCCCCCAGTTCCCGAAGATTTTTTTTGACGTTCCGATATATCCATATCTTTGCATGTCTAGGATGCATTTTTAGTCCAAGAGTTAAGTCCCATTCATACATTTTAGATAGATTTTTCATGTTTTACACTTGTTTTAGAGTTTTAGAAATTTTGCATTAGGTCCAAGTGAGTCTTTCATGTTTGGAGTGTCAATCAGGTACCTTGGAGCTTGTTTGGAGTGAAAAAGGTGAAACCAGATGAAGAAATGGTGAAAGAATGTGCAAAAATGATAAAAATAGGCATTTGGAGCTTATCGGCCAAAACCATGCACCGCAGGTCGATTTTTCTCGGCTAAAAACCTACTGCGGGTAGCAAAACTCGGCCAAAACCTGTACAGTGTCCATGTTCTATCGGCCAAAACTCCCATACGCTGATACACTTCAAAGATCGTGTTATCGGAAGGCCTTCCTGTCCAATCCAGCTTCCAGGGTCTTCACCAAAAATCAAGAGGATCGATTCACGATTCCACCAAAACTTAGAATCAATGGATTTGGAGCAGTGAGCTGAAAGATCTTGCCAACAGAAGGAACCTGTCTCGTATCCATTCCAAACTATTCTGATGCGCCTCAAAGATGACGTTACCGGAAAGTCTTCCCGTCCGATCCAGTATCCGATGTCTTGATAAAAGTTTGAGAATATTGAATCTAGTTTTCAGAACACGTAAATTCAGGATATTTGGAGCTTCTAGATGGGAGATAACGAAAGTGGAAGAAGCACAGGTCTAGAGGCCAATCCGGACCAGTGCAATGTGCCTTAAAGATCGGCTTACTGGAAAGCCTTGCCGACCTCAGATGGAGTTGGGTTCTTTACCAAAGTTCGAGCTGGCTTAGTCATCTATCTTGTGGACGTGGTATTGAGTCATTTGGATCACTGAGCTGAGAGTTAATGAGAAGAAGCATATAATTCCAGGTTCAAAAGAGCTTGCTGCGTACAAAGTGTTTTCTTGTGCCTCGGTGTAACCCCTTGGTATATCTTGACACCGAGGCACACTTACGAAACTTTTGGCCATTCCCTCGGTCTGACACCTCGGTCACACAACATGGAGGCATGTTTTGTTCAGAATACTAGTCTCCAAACGACTAAGTATAAGGCTGGGAGCATCTATGGGGTTTGATCTTGAACTTTCCTAAGTGTTACAGCTGGCCTCGGCATAATCCCTCGGTATACACAACCCTGAGGCCCTCCTGTATCATGAGAGGATTAGTCTACATTTTAGTTCTAAGTTTGATTGGAATTGTTTGATTGCTTGTCATTAGCTCTCTAGTTTAACACTAATGCACCCTGATCAACTATCATGTCTAGAACCTTTGTTTCCATCATATTCATATCATTATCATCTTATCTTTGTTTTGGTTTGTTTGCCTTTTTGATCATTGTTAATCTTGTTTAGTTTCTTTTCATCATTTGTTACAAAACCAACCTACTTTGTTTGCTTGGATTAGGAATAGATCACATAGATTAGTGAACTAAACCACAGGTTGGATTGATACTCTTTGTGCTACAATAGACAAAAGGATTGATACCCTAAGAGCCTGAAAAACTATTGTCTATCAATTGGCACCGTTGCCAAAGTGTAGATTTAGCATTAGTCTCTGGTCTGTTTTTAAGATCAAGTGTTTTTGTTTTACTAATCAACCATTTGAGATTGTTTTTGGGGTTTCAGGCTTATGAACCACAGGCCTAGAATTAGAAGCTGAAGTTGTGAATCATTAGATCCCTTCATTGACAACATTCAGATGCTTAAAAGAATAAGTAGAAGAGCAAGGGAGAGAGCAGACATCTTCAGCGGCTGGGTATTGATAAACAAGGGAATCAAGCAGAACAACAGGCTCAAGTGAACCAAATAAAGCGGCCAGAAATGAGCAACAAGCCTTTGTGAACCAAAAAATGGCTGAAAAAATGAGCACCAGGCTCATTTGAACCAGAACCAAGAGGCCAGAAATGAGCACCAGGCTCATGTACACCAGGAGAAACAACACCAGCAAAGGCATCACCAGCCTCAAGTGAGGAATTCTATTTTTTTGGGTGCTAATGATAGAGCCAATGCCCACCAGAACAGGCAAGGTATCCAGGCTCCACCTGTTGAGAACAACAATTTTGAAGTCAAAGCCTCACTCTTCAATATGGTCCAAAACTCCAAGTTCCATGGTTTGCCTATGGAAAACTCTCTAGATCACTTTGATAATTTTGATAGGGTTTGTAACCTTACAAAGATCAATGGTGTATCTGAGGATGGTTTCAAGCTGAGACTCTTCCCATTTAGCCTGGGAGACAAAACTCGCCAATGGGGAAACAATTTGCTTAGAGGATCCATTCAGATATGGGAACAATGTAAGCAGGCTTTCCTCTCAAAGTTCTATTAAACTTCAAGAACATCTAAGCTCAGGAACCAGATCTCGTCATTCACAAAGCACCATAATGAAATCTTTGGAGAGGCCTGGGAGAGATTCAGAAGCTATACAAACAAATGCCCTCACCATGGGTTTTCAGAAGCTTCTCTACTCAGTACTCTTTATAGAGGTGCCCTTCCCAAGTATTGAAACCAACTAGATACTGCATCCAATGGCAATTTCCTTGCAAAAGTAATCAATGCTGGTGAAAAACTTGGCCATAAGCAATGATACATATGGTAAAGACTATGACAGAACTAATAGAGGTGATCAGTCTAGTGATGAACAAAGGATGACAAAGGACATCAAGGGCTTCAAAGCAAGTTGGATAAGGTACTAGTGGCTACCAGAAGCCAATACTTTTTGATGGAGAATTTGATGAACAAACTCCTTGCTTTGAAAATGTGAATGAGGAGGGATTAACACAAGAAGAGCTACATTACAATGGGAATCAAAACAAGTTCCAGAGGTATAACAACTTCAACAATCAGAACTTGTCATACAGAAACCCTAATGTAGCTAATCCAGTCTCCTTCCACATTTGGGAGTCTCTACCTCTTGTCATTATAGTGACATTTTTTATCAGAATATAACTTTTCTTAAACAGAGTCCCAGTTTCTGATATTCATAGGAGAGTTCTGGTGTAGCTAAAAGCATAAGAAAACAAGTAAATGATGCATCTCCTTCCACGGTATAACAACTTCAACAATCAGAACTTGTCATACAGAAACCCCAATGTAGCTAATCCAGTCTCTTTCGACATTTATGAGTCTATACTTCTCATTTGTAAGCTCATAACTCCCTCTCGTCAATATAGTTCCATTTTGAATCAGAATATGACTTTTCTTAAACAGAGCCCCAGTTTTCTGATTTTCATAGGAGACTTTTGGTGTAGCTAAAGGAATAAGAAAACAAGTAAATGATGCATCTACTTCCATGGTATAACAACTTCAACAATCAGAACTTGTCATACAGAAACCCCAATGTAGCTAATCCAGTCTCCTTCCACATTTGGGAGTCTCTACCTCTTGTCATTATAGTGACATTTTTTATCAGAATATAACTTTTCTTAAACAGAGTCCCAGTTTCTGATATTCATAGGAGAGTTCTGGTGTAGCTAAAAGCATAAGAAAACAAGTAAATGATGCATCTCCTTCCACGGTATAACAACTTCAACAATCAGAACTTGTCATACAGAAACCCCAATGTAGCTAATCCAGTCTCTTTCGACATTTATGAGTCTATACTTCTCATTTGTAAGTTCATAACTCCATCTCGTCAATATAGTTCCATTTTGAATCAGAATATGACTTTTCTTAAACAGAGCCCCAGTTTTCTGATTTTCATAGGAGACTTTTGGTGTAGCTAAAGGAATAAGAAAACAAGTAAATAATGCATCTACTTCCATGGTATAACAACTTCAACAATCAGAACTTGTCATACAGAAACCCCAATGTAACTAATCCAGTCTCCTTCCACATTTAAGAGTCTATACTTCTCATTTGTAAGCTCATAACTCCCTCTTGTCAATATAGTGCCATTTTAGATCAGAAATTGACTTTTCTTAAACAGAGTCTCAGTTTTCTGATTTTCATAAGAGGGTTTAGGTGTAGCTAAAGGAATAAGAAGACAAGTATATAATGCATCTCCTTCCACATTTAGGATGCTCTACTTCTTATGTGTAAGCTCAGAACTCCCTCTTGTAAATATAATGCCATTTTGGATCAGAATATGACTTTTCCTAAACATAGTCCCGGTTTTCTGATTTTAATACGAGATTTAGGTGTAGCTAAAGGAATAAAAAAAAGTATATAATGCATCTCCTTCTACATTTAGGAGTCTATACTTCTTATTTTTTAAGCTCAGAACTCCCTCTTGTTAATATAGTGTCATTTTGGATCAGAATATGACTTTCTTAAACACAGTCTCAATTTTCTGATTTTCATAAGAGAGTTCTGGTGTAACGAAAGGAATAAGAAACAAGTAAATGATTCAGAACTTGTCATACAGAAACCCTAATGTAGCTAATCCTGTCTCCTTCCACATTTAGGAGTCTCTACTTCTTATATGTAAGCTCAGAACTCCCTCTTGTCAATATAGTGTCATTTTAGATTAGAATATGATTTTTTTTTAAAACAGAGTCCCAGTTTTCTGATTTTCATAGGAGAGTTTCTGTGTAGCTAATGGAATAAAAAAACAAGTATTTAATGCATCTCCTTTCACATTTAAGATGCTCTACTTCTTATTTGTAAGCTCAGAATTCTCTCTTATAAATATAATCCCATTTTGGATCAGAATATGACTTGTCCAAAATAGAGTTCCAATTTTCTGATTTTCATAGAAAAGTTCACGTATATCCAAAAGAATAAGAAATTATGTAAATCATGCATCTCCTTCCACATTTAGGAGTCTCTACTTCTTATTTGTAAGCTCAGAACTCCCTCTTGTCAATATAGTGACATTTTGGATCAGAATATGACTTGTCCTAAACAGAGTCCAAGTTTTCTGATTTTCATAGGAAAGTTCATGTGTATCCAAAGGAATAAGAAAACATGTAAATCATGCATCTCATTCCATATTTAGGATTCTCTACTTCTTATTTGTAAGCTCAGAACTCCCTCTTGTAAAAATAATGTCATTTTGGATCAGAATATGATTTATCCTAAACAGAGTCCTAGTTTTCTGATTTTCATATGAAAGTTCACGTGTATCTAAAGGAATAAGAACACATGTAAATCATGCATCTCGTTCCATATTTCGTAGTCTCTACATTATATTTGTAAGCTCAGAATTCCCTCTTGTCAATATAATGCCATTTTGGATCAGAATATGACTTGTCCTAAATAAAGTTCCAGTTTTATGATTTTCATAGGAAAGTTCACGTGTATCCAAAGGAATAAGAACACATGTAAATTATGCATCTCCTTCCATATTTGGGAGTCTCTACTTCTTATTTGTAAGCTCAGAACTCTCTCTTGTCAATATAGTGCCATTTTGGTTCAGGATATGCCTTTCCTTAAACAGAGCCCTAGTTTTCTGAGCGGAACCGAGAAGATTGGACCGGGCTGAAAAATGTCTTGCACCGAGTTGGAGATCCGATAACATGTATGGGCCGAGCTGGGAAGATACGATGCCTGTCAATAAGAATCTCAACCCTATGAGAAAGTTTGAAGTGGTGGTCGTGCAAAGAAATAAGGAAATTTGTTGATAATCTCTTTTGATATTCTTGCTGGACGATCTAAGAGAATTTGTATAAATAGTAGATTAATTTATTCATTAAGCCATCTTTAGCAACCCCAGCACTACGCACATAAGCACTTATATCAAAAGTTTTTCCCAAACAGCAATAAAACCATCTTCGGATCTCTGTTCTCGGGATTCGTTCTTAGAAATTTATGTTTCCTCTTTGAAATTCTTAATAAATTTTGGTTATGCAAGTTTTGCCTCATACATTTCTTTGGTGGATTTGTGATATCTAAGGTTTAGATTATTGATTTCCTTCTTTGTTTAGTGTGCTTAATGCTAGATTATCCTTGATTAAGCTTGTTTAGATCATAGAAATTTTCACGCCCACAAAGGTGTTTCATGAAGAAATTCCCCTATGAGCTAAACAAAGGTTTTACTTTCTTAACTCATGGTAATAATTATTTAAGAAGTATTGTGGTTAATAGAACTTGTATTTGATGCTTTCTAATCACTTTTTCTTAAATGGAAAATTGAATTTGATTTGGTAATCGGGATCATGTTTGTGTGATTAAATAGTAATTAGGATCATGGAAATGAATTAATCAAGTTTGTGTGTTCTAGACTAAACGAAATACTTTGTTTGTGTAAAATAACATCATGAAATAGCCATAGGAATACCCAAAGTCCATAACCTCACCAAGGGCTCATCATTTTATCTTTGTTGATCTCGTTTTAAATATTTCTTAAGTTGTTAGGCTTTTGTTTGCTTGTATGTTTAATTTATTTTCTCATTAGGTTGCTAGGAAAACATTAAAAATATCATTGCTTGCTTGAATGAGGAAGTTTTATGCATTCCTAGTATATTGAATCTTAACCCATTTGGATTGACACCTCATATAATACATAGTATCTTAAGATTATTGACTCCACAAAGACTAAAAAGTCTTGTTATCATGGCTAACGGGGAGACACAGATCTGAAATCTACTATCTGATCCTAAGGACCACCAAAGCAGAAACTAAAGATTCTCACTGTTAAAGACGCTGACTGCCTCTCGCCACCATCACGAGAAACCGGAGAGCAAAACCTTCCTCGTGCTGCTCTGAAACAAAAACACCAGAAAAAATCCTAGGGGAACTCGACGTTGCGGACTACCTTCAAGTCTACTACAGTCCCACAAGAGCACTAGCAAGACAAACCTCTAGGGGCCATCATCGTCGGAAAACCCTCACCAAGCCGAGTCACTGGATCCCATTTCCCACCGGCAGAGAATGTAGAGTGAGATAGGACTCGAGACAGCCCACTGGCAGATTGGGTGGGTAACGCCGACTATCAGAGGTTCTGCACCACCGTCACTGCGACCCATGCAATGCCGCGAGGGTCATACCGCCATCGAGGGAGGAACCATTTGAGAAATCCAACGAGTAGCACTTGGACCAAAAGGAGTACGCCGGGAAAAGAAAAAAGAGGAAGGGGACAAGGGGTGGGCCCTCCCCAACGGTGGAAGTAGCGCCAGGGAGGGGCAGATCAACGCTGGCGGCTGCTTAGGTATTAGGGTGAACTCTGTATTTTGGTAGAGAAGGGAGAGAAAAGAAGAGAGAGGATTCTGTTCAACAATAATTACACATTTACAACACCTTCTTAATTTGTAAAAACGAACAACATCATGATAGAAGAAATATAAAACCCCATAAGTAAGAGCATAAGATAATAGTTTGTACATCAAGCACGACGGATACACTACATACCTTTTACCCAAAATTAAACAAGAACCATTTATACTCTAGATCTATGTTGGCTTCAAGTTGTGAAACAGAGCAGCCCATCGTGTATCATCCTCTCTTTTATTGTACTCCATATACACACTTGGGCTCGGTGGTCTTCCTTTCAACGGCCCTGATAATCTCAGCCGTTCGTTTAAGTTTCCACCTCATTGTCCCGACACATCTGGGCTTCTGTAAGCTGATACGAGTCTTTCTTGGACGTTTCGATCCAACGGTCCAGATAGGTTCATGCTCCGGTTGCCTATGAACGTCATTTTCTCTTGCATACCGTGTTTTAGATCCAACGGTCCAGATTTCGCAATCACTTTATTCTTCATCAGAGGTAATCTCTCCACTTGTAGTGCCTTTTCCGCATTGACTTTATTATTTCCTAAAAGTTTTTACCTAACATTGTTAATTTTTTTCATTTTTTTTTAACTAATCACATCCATTCACCAATTCTCCTACCGATTCACATGTGAATCTACAAAATTTAGATTTCTTGCTTCATTCATAAATGCAGTTTGGTTCTTGTACAGAACATTTTTTTTTTGAAAGAATGTAAAATTGTATTTAATCCAAAAAACGTTTTTACAATGAATGTTACAGCTTTTTAAAATGAAAGCAGAGCAACTCTACATAAATTTCAATAAAAACATTTAAAAATAGATAAAGAAACCCTCATCTTTCTCTTATAAATTTATATGTAACTTACACGAAAATCTGGATAATGTTTTCTAACCTGAAGAGCTGGAGGTGTACATAATAACATAACTTAACCTAAATTTATAAACCTACAATATAATCGAGTTTCATTTTAATCGGAACAGTGTAGAAATTCTTTTGTGAAGAATTTACCTATTTTCCCAAACAAAATATTAGTTTGTTGTAATTATCAATATAACTAATACCATAGCAAAATGTGGATTATGTGTATTATATTGACCTTACCAGTTACAAATGCTCCGCCACCGAAGGCTTGTGGTGGCAATTGCTTCTCCTTCAATGGTTCAACTACGCTGGTTGCTCCGAAGAAAATCCACTTGTTCAAGCGATTGCCAATACTTGTCGCCCTTATGACGGTAGAGATGAGTTTAACCGAGGCCGGACGACGGTGATATCTGCCATGTGCTTGTGTTTCTCTCTTTGAGAGCTTGAGAATCTGTTGACGGTGTTCGGGTACAGTAATGCCCAGTTGCCGGAGAAAGTTGTGGCTGAAAAGAGCGATGTCTTCACTCGGGAGCTTCTTCTGGGCGAAGATGAGTCCGTATTCGTAGCTTAGAGTCGGGTCAAGGTCAGTTTTAGATAGCCACGAGAACCAATCCATCTTGTGTGTGTGTGCGCGTGACTGATCTTATGTGAGTTTTGACTTTTGGAGACTAACGCAATTTATGGGTTATCTCTTAGAGTAAACCAATTAATGGTTGCATACATACATCTGTACATGATACATGCACAAGTTTTTAATATTTAAAATGATATTTTACATGTTTTTGGTCTCCTCAATGAATATAAAAAATAAAATAATAAAAGGTGATATATAGTGCTATTCGAAAAGTATAGCGAATATTTTTGCTGAAAAAAAAGGAACTTGGAGGTTGTTTAATGTTATTTTATATATGAGGGACGCGCATATGATGGGAGACACATAAGAGCATCCACAACAGGAGTGCTTAGATGATGCTTAGCCCAAAAAATAAATCCAAAATGAAAATAAATTGAAGAATCGCTGCTTAAATAAGACCAATAAGCATCGATGCTTATAAGACACGTGGAGTTTATTTATTGGACTGATAGAAAAGAAGCGATGTTTATTGGTGTTTGTTTTCTCTCTCTTCATTTTCTCTCTTTTCTTTTTCTCTTTCTTCATTTTTTTCTTTTTTTCTTCTTTCTTAAGTTTAATATTATTTTATTGCTAAGCATTCTTAAATCGATGCTAGCATTGCTGATGCTCTAAAGCAATATGTAGTGGTTGCAACTTAGGAATATTTTTTGTTTCAAGCATTCCACTTTTCACGGATTTTCAAATATCAAACATGTAAATGAATTCCAATTTTGATCTCTATGTTACAGTTAGTTTGTTTTGTCCTCTTTTACTTTTTACTAGATTGATGCCCCGCGTGTTGCCCAGTAATTCATGTTTTAATGATAATTAATACGAAGCATTGAACAGTTAATTCATTGTATTTTTCTTCTTTTTTATCTTTTTTTTCTATTAGATATCTTCGTCATCTTAGTATTTTCATATTTTTGTTATGTTTATCTTCTACTATCTTATATCATTATCATCTCCTCGTCTCCTTTTTTCATTTTCAACATTTTTGTCCTCGCATTTTCCGAAATTTTTATTTATTTAACTTTGTGTTATTTTTTCTTCTCTTATTAATCATTTTTTTTTTGGTTTTTTCCATCTTATTCTTCTGATTTTGTTTCCTCTCTTACTTTTTCCTATTTCATATATATATTCTTCCTCTTTTACTTCTTTTTTCATATGCTTCTTCTTCTTTATATTTTGTTTTTTCTCTTCTTCTTCCTATTTTTTTATTATTATTCATCGTCTTTAATTTTATGTTTTATCATCATTGTTGTCTCTAACTTTTTCTTCTTTTTTTTCTAGTTTTTACTCTTCTTCTTTATGATTAAAAATAATAATTATTAAATAGTCTAAAATTAATTGAGTTATTAATTTTAGTATTAGTGTTTTTATCGTTTCTAATTGATAAATAATAGTTATTTTAAAGTCTGTGAATTAATTAAATCATTAATTTTATAATTTTTTTTTTGTTGATGTAGACACCCTAAAAAAAACTCTCCCATTATACAATAGATTGGTATGTTAATAATGAAATCTCATACGTTAAAACCTCGTAACATGATATATTTTTGATATTTCTGATTATCCTGGGTGATCCAAGTCGGACTGGAAGTCTAGCATTAGGAATTGACTCAATTATGGAAATTATTTTATTTCTTTTGAAAAATACTCTAGCATCAAGTGATGGAATCACCAATTTCTATAGCTACAAGCGGCTAATGCAAGAAACCAAAGAACGTTTTTGATACTTTTCGCAATCAACGGCCCGCAAATTTTCTATTGCCAATTTAACAAAAATCATCAAAGAGTAGCAATCCACTCTAGAATACCGGCTATAAATCCTAAAAGATGGACCACATTGTTTAATTAACAAATCAACAAATTAGTTTGGTAGAGCAGATGCACAGTAGTCAATGCTCCACTCCTCAAAATTTATTGGCCGAAAGTGATCTATCAAAGTGAGTAGCCCCAATTGATACCCAGCCTCTACTGATATCTATCTCTCTCTCTCTCTCTCCAACTTTACCTGATTTGGTGAATATGTTTCGTATTAGTCTCAGCCTTTCACATGCTTTATCTTTTTTTTGTTGGCTCACGAAATTTAATTTAAATGGCTTGCATAATGAAATGACAGTTCAAGGTTTGAAATACGCTTGACTAATGAAAAATAGAAGTTCCCATTAAATGTAGAGTGCTTTTGCTTCCTTAAACAAATAAACCCTTGTTATCGGCTAGAATCAAAGTGTCCTCAACGACATCAAGAAAGCATAATTGTTTGGGAATTCAAAGATTTAAAAATCAATCTCACAGTTGTTGGAACTATTTTTAAGCCAAATGTGCTTCATTCATTCGTCAAATAATTGAATGTAAGGTGAATCAGAAATGCTTTTGGGCTCATGCGCAAGCCATAAGTTTATTGGCTAAGTGCTCAAGTTTTTTTTCCTTCTACGGGCCAAGGGCTTGTGGGCGTTTTGTGGTAAAAGCTTGACATGTTTTCATGGCAACAAGACGGTGCAAACCTCCTCTTTATAAGTGTCTTCATGGTTGTCCAAAAGGCAGTGGGTGGGTAAAACTTCTCCTTTGATAGGTCATTTCTCTTCTTCACCAAATCAGAGCATCACTGCCATGTCTACTTCTTTTGCTCCGTGAATTGGTCAAAATCAAACCAATCCTCCAAACGATCTTCTAACACCAAGTAATTTTTTGGATTATCTTCTCCAAATAATATAATACCTTGTTACTAAGATGGAGCTGATTTTCTTGGTGTTCATCGTATAGGATCAGGCAGTTTAGGGCCAGGTGGTTTTGGATATGGTGTTCATCCACAGTATTCCTGCTAATCTATGCCTAAATACTCGTCGTAGCTTCTGAATGAAGGTGGTTCATTCTTCTCTTTTAGGATCTCATCTCTTTCCACTACAAGAAATATGCTTATTGATAGCACATTTTAATAGCGTAATATTTGTAACTGCTATTAAATGTCATTTTCGGAATTGGGTACTCTAATATAGCACTTAAAAAATGCTAAAAAGTAAATAATGTGAGCGGGAACAAAAAAAAGGCTTTGGCTCGCATAAAACACTTATGCCCGCCAACACTTAGTAAAAATTTCATGTTATAGACAAAACATAACAACATTCTGTCGACTAAAAAAAAAAAACATTTTCTCGGGTGAGCAAAAAATAGAAAGTTCTAGGGTTTACGAGAGAAGAGAGTGATCTCAAATTCATCAAGCCGATTAACAATCTGACGTCTCTGAAACCCTCATCGTCGGAAATCTCTTTCACCAGTGTCAATTTCGGGTTTAGATCAGGTCATCTTGATTCCTGTTGGAGTTAAGCTCTCGATTTTGGAGATTTCTGGGTTTAGCAGGAAATTTTCGGCGATTGAGGCAGAGTTGTTTGTCAAGTTCAGCGGAAACTAGACGACGCACATGCAAAGGTAACTCCAATTTCACTCTTCATAAACCCTAAATGTAATTCCATCATTCGATTCATTTAATTCTTATACTTGTTTTACTTACTACACTTTCATTCTCATTTCTTCCCTCTTGAGGTTTCGAAGCTGAAGAGAAACTAAAAGACAGCGAGAAGACATCAAATACATAGGCGAACAAAGCTCAATCGTGTCTGATTTCATCGATAATCAAGGTAAATGTAACTCGTTAATCGGTTTAGGGTTTACACAGAATTGATACGAAACTCGTTTATATTGACTCTACTTTGTCTTCCGGAGTACTTTTAGGGTGTTTGTTTAGGGTTGAGTCGTTTAGCTAACAATTGTTATTAAGGTTGGAGTATACAATGGTGGACAAGGCATGGGTTCACCTATGCAGGTATCACTTAATAAACATGTGTTCAGGGTACATGTGCTTCTATATAGTTTACCTGTATAGTTTTGACTTTTTTTATTCATCGACATGCATATGTTGAAGAGCGGATCCTGCATATGAGATTGGTGCTAGGAATTTTGTGAACTCAGTTGCCTATGCCTTAGGAGATTGTGATTTGGTTATATGCCCGTGCATTGATTGTCGAAACGTAGACCGTCATTCTAAAAATGATGTAGTGGATCACTTGGTCACAAGAGTTATGGATGAGACGTACAAGCTAAGGACTGATTGGTATCATCATGGGGAAGTAAACTGTGGGTCTGACGAAGCAAGGAAAGTGATAAGAGAGTGGAACGAGGAGATTGTAGGGTTGTATCAAGCTGCCGAATACTTGGATGAAGAGTTAGCTAACAAGACGGACTTATGCGATGTTGCTGAAGGTTTAGACAAGAGAGAAGACGAGTTTCTAGCTAAACTTGCTGATGCCGAAACGCCATTGTATCCAAGTTGTGCCAGCCATAGCAAGCTATCAGCAATTGTATCGTTGTTTAGGCTGAAGACTCAGAATGGGTGGTCGGACAAGAGCTTCAACGAGCTGTTAGAGACACTGCCGAGTATGTTGCCGGAGGATAATGTGCTTCACACCTCGTTGTATGACGTGAAGAAGTTCCTCAAGTCTTTCCATATGGGGTACGAGAAGATCCATGCCTGTGTTAATGATTGTTGTCTTTTCAGAAAGGGGTTGAAGAAGTTAGACAACTGTCCCAAGTGCAAGACATCAAGATGGAAGACTAACTTCCAAACCGGTGAACTTAAAAAAGGTGTCCCTCAGAAAGTTTTGAGGTACTTTCCCATCATTCCGAGGCTGAAGAGGATGTTTAGGTCAGAGCAAACTGCTAAGGAGTTACGGTGGCATTTTACTAACAAAAGTAATGATGGAAAGCTGCGTCATCCCGTAGACTCCGTAACATGGGACCAGATGAATTCCAAGTACCCGTTGTTTGCCGCAGAATCAAGGAACATTCGGCTAGGTCTATCTACCGACGGTTTCAATCCATTCAGCATGAAAAATACAAGGTATTCTTGTTGGCCTGTATTGTTGGTGAATTATAATATGGCTCCAGACTTGTGTATGAAGAAGGAGAATATCATGCTTTCCTTGTTGATTCCTGGACCGTATCAACCTGGCAACAGTATAGATGTGTACTTGGAGCCACTGATCGATGACCTCCAACGATTGTGGGACATTGGAGAACAAATGTATGATGCATTCAGTAAAACCACATTCACAATGAAGGCAATGCTATTGTGGACTATTAGTGACCTACCTGCATATGGAAATCTGGCTGGCTGCAGAGTAAAAGGTAAGATGGGATGTCCATTATGTGGAAAGCATACTGATAGTTTATGGTTACCTAATAGCAGGAAGCATGTTTACATGTGTCATAGAAAGGGATTATCACCCACGCATAGTTACCGTGGGAAGAAGGCATGGTTCCATGGAAAAGTTGAATATGGAAGGAAGGGTAGGATTCTAACGGGTCATAACATATCTGTGTTGCTGAAGAATTACAAAAACGAGTTTGGAAATGTTAGACAAGCTGGAAGGAAAAGAAAAAGGGTTATTCCTGCGGAGTCATTAGCTGATAGTGAAGACGAAGAATCCGAATCAGAGGAGGAAGAGGAAGTAGATGAAGAAGAATTATCTAGATGGAAGAAACGATCTATCTTTTTCAATTTTCCTTACTGGGAGGTATGTTATCATTTTACAACTTCATTTATATTTGTTAAATACACTATACATAATTTAAAGACTTTCAGTTAACATGTCTAAATGCAATCCATAGGAACTCCCGGTCAGACATAACTTAGACGTTATGCACGTAGAAAGAAATGTTGCAGCGAGCATCATTTCCACCTTGCTGCATTGTGGAAATTCAAAAGACGGTCTTAATGCTCGTAAAGCTCTACAAGTCCTTGGTATTAGGAAAGAGTTGAATCCTAAAGCCAGAGGCAAACGAACTTACTTACCTGCAGCACCGTAGACTTTGTCAAAGGAAGAGAAGAGACTATTCTGCAAGCGTCTACATGAGTTCAAAGGACCGGATGGTTATTGCTCCAATATATCCAGGTGCGTATCATTAGAAGAGTCTAAGACAATGGGATTGAAGTCACACGATTACCATGTGCTCATGCAACAACTTTTACCAGTTGCACTTAGAGGTCTTTTACCGAAAGGGCCTAGAATAGCCATTACACGATTATGTGCATTCTTCAACAATCTATGTCAACGTGTTGTTGATAGGGAGAAAATATCAGGAATGGAAAACGAAAGCGTTGAGACTATTTGTATGTTTGAGAGATTTTTCCCACCTAGTTTCTTTGATATAATGGTTCACTTGTGTATACATCTTGGGAGGGAAGCTAGATTAGGTGGACCTGTGCACTTTCGATGGATGTATCCTTTCGAGAGGTAAGTTGTCTATACAAGTTTTTTGATAAGTTTGCTTGCCGCATATTTCATCTTCCATTATCGTTATTCTTGTCTTCTTAATTCCTACCAGACACATGAAACTGTTGAAAGACTACGTCAGGAATCCTGCAAGACCGGAAGGATGTATTGCTGAATCATATCTAGCAGAGGAATGTATGCAGTTCTGCAGAGATTTCTTGAGGAAGACCACAAGTGTCGAATTACATTTTTCAGAAACAAGAAGCTGAAGTCGGAGAGAATTCTGCGCCAAGAGTAAACTCTTGTTTTGTCTTATTTAGCATTTAAAATATATGTCATATGTTTACATCTGTTTTTACAATTCACCATTAACGTTTGCAGGGTGTCACCATGAAATTACAAATGAAGTGTCTGTTATTCGACTGGGCTGGAACGGATGAAGATACTAATATATTTCATTGTTTTCTAATGTCACTTTGTTGAAACGGTTTCTCCCTCTTCGACGTCCACAAATCCCAAAGAAGATCTCCTTTCTCAGCTACTTGGGCCTGATAATCCCGGCCGTTTGAGAGTGATGGGTAGAGGTAAGTTGTCTATACAAGTTTTTTGATAAGTTTGCTTGCCGCATATTTCATCTTCCATTATCGTTATTCTTGTCTTCTTAATTCCTACCAGACACATGAAACTGTTGAAAGACTACGTCAGGAATCCTGCAAGACCGGAAGGATGTATTGCTGAATCATATCTAGCAGAGGAATGTATGCAGTTCTGCAGAGATTTCTTGAGGAAGACCACAAGTGTCGAATTACATTTTTCAGAAACAAGAAGCTGAAGTCGGAGAGAATTCTGCGCCAAGAGTAAACTCTTGTTTTGTCTTATTTAGCATTTAAAATATATGTCATATGTTTACATCTGTTTTTACAATTCACCATTAACGTTTGCAGGGTGTCACCATGAAATTACAAATGAAGTGTCTGTTATTCGACTGGGCTGGAACGGATGAAAAAGTTGGTGAAGGACGTATTTTGTCTGAAGAGCCTGAGGAATTTGTCAACAGTATACCCTTAGGCCCAAACTCATACAAAGTTTTGGTGGAAACAGCGATTAAGCCAGAAGCTTATCTTTGGAGACCTGCTCGCAACGTCTTCAATATGGAGCAAGCAGTTGGAGAGATGATTGCATGGCCTCACAATTTTGTGGTTCCCTTTAGCAGCGGATGTGAACCAGAAGACATTACGCCTCTGGTAAATATTCTTTCAGTACGGAATATTATAGTTGAGTTTATAGTAAAAGTAAAACTGTGCAATGCTTGACAATGGTTTCATTTGTTTACTGCTTCACAGAGTCCTAATACTAGCTCTCGGAACTTCTGCAAGCTGCTTGACTGGGCTAGAACTAACGAGGAAGTTGTTGCAGAGGGTCGTTGGCATTCTCGAGAGCCAAAAGCATTAGTCAACGGACTACCTCTCGGACCTAATGCAGTGAAGGTATCGTCGATGTGGTTTTATGCCCAAATACCTTCCGCTGGAGGCCAACGACTGAGTTCTTAGATTTGGAGGATTCAGTCAACACCTTTGTCGCCTGGCCTGCTAATAGAGTAATCTTTGAGGCAAGTCCTGAAACGAGTTCTCCTATTGCTAACTCTGAATCAACTCCACCAGCTCCAATAAAAAAACCAATGAAAGCAATGTCAGAAAGTTCTACTCCTATAACTCAGGTAGGTTTTCTTACTAAACTTTCATTTGTTTGGTTTGTTTGGATTTGTTGATTTTGTGTATAGCTATATATTCAAAATGTCTTCGCTACAGGAATCCAACCAAATGGAAACGGGGAATGAAAATAAGAAGTGCTTGGTGATGGCTATTACTGGAAAGAAGCGAGTGATTGCTGAAGGACGTTGGTCCACAAACGATCCACTTCAAACAGTACATTTTGTTCCCTTGGGTCCAAATGCAGTTAAGGTGTGGATTGATGTTGTCAAAGTTAAAGATGCTTGCGTATGGAGGCCTTCGTCTGAGATCGAGTGCATGGAAGATGCAATAGGAACAACTATTGCTTGGCCAGAGGATAAAGTGGTACTCGTCTAAATGCAGTAGTCATCTGATACTTTAGTTTTTATCTTCTCTGAACTTAAGGATGGTTTCGTTGAAGACATAACCTGACATGTGTTTATGGTTTTCTTTGTTGGAAATGCTTGTATGTTGCTGAAACATTAACCAGTACTCAGTTCTTCTATATGGAAAAGTAGATGCATTTCAATTTTTTTTTACCAGGTTTTGATATTTAGTAAGTGCATTTCTTGAGGTTTTGGATATATCGTATTTGGTTAAAAAAAACCTACATCGCCAAATTCAATAGCACGTAAGAACAGCTCCAACACTAAACAATACAGCATGAAAAAATAGCTACAGTATATGATGTTGGAGCTAAAATATAATGCTACGACTCAACTAACAACAGCAATGAATTTCTCTTATAGTAAACTAGAATGTAGCTATAAAACCACGCTACTATAAAGGTGTCAATAACACAAAAATAAAGCTACAACATTTAATAATACAGCGTCTAATTTGTGCTACCGTATCATTTATAATAACATCATAACAATGCTATTATATATATGAATATAATAACACTTTCCATAAACGCTATATTAAGGGGTGTACTCTATTATAGCTCCGGCAGATACAGCGTTTATGAAAACGCTATGAAAGTACTTTCATAGCGTTATTCGTATGCTATGAATGTACATATTTCTTGTAGTGTTCTCGTTGTTGTAAAACATTAAAATTCTTATACACTGTTCGTCTTACAAAAAAAAAAAGAAAGTAAACTATTTATATGGTTTTTTAATAAAAACCCCCCACACAAGCACCACCCAACTGAGGGGCGATTAGCCAACTTTTCCCAAGCTCAGGAGTTAATGCACCTTTCTTATGGATATTTTTCTTAAGAGAAATAAAAATAAATTGTGTGACATTCCGATTTCCAGTATATGTAAAAATGTTTATAAGAATTGATTTGGCTGTCCATTAAAGTGCACTTATCTTTTCTGGTCAAATGTCTTGAGAGAACTCCAAATTAAGCGTGCTTATGTCTGAGCAATATTAGGATGGATGATCTACCGAGAAGTAGTCTGCGGTACCGTGTGAGTGAGGACAAAAGCATGGGAAAAAATCACGTGGTGATTGCAGGGACAGTAGACAAGTTGGACATGGGTGGGCCAACGGACTTAGAGAGGACATTGGGCCAACAGACCTAAAAAGAGAAAGTTTGGTCCACAGGCCTAGAGAGGACGTTAGGCTTGCTGGTAGGGGCGGTTGGGGGCGTTCAGAGTTGATAGCCAATCCAGATGAAAGACGGACTAGAGATTTCATGGATTTTATAGCCGGTCTGTCTAGTTCCCGTAAAGGAAGAAGGGAGCGGGATCTCACAATTGGTATCAGAGCCAAGGTTAGCCAACCAGCTCTGACCCGGGTGGCATCTTGGGAAATAGTTAAGTTAGAGAGAATTCGAGGATGAATTCCTTGGAAGTCAGAGAGAATTGGAACATCCTGATTCCGATATATGTGAAAAGACTTATAAGAATTGGTTTGGCTACCTATGTCATCGAAGTGCACTTATCTTTCCGGTCAAATGTCATGAAAGAACTCCAGAGTTAAACATGCTTATGCTGGACTAATCTCAGGATGGGTGATCTACCAGGAAGTAGTCTGCGGTACCGTGTGAGTGAGGACTAAAGCACAGGGAAAGATCACGTGGTGATTGTAAGGGCAGTAGACAAGTCTTACGAGCCTCCCGAACCAAACGACTCCCGACCTTCGGACAGGGGTGGGCCAATGGGCCTAGAGAGGACGTTGGGCCAACGGGTCTAGAGAGAGGACAATGAGCCCATGGGCCTAGAGAGGACGTTGGGCTCACTGGTAGGGACGTTTGGGGGCGTTCAGAGTTGATAGCAAATCCAGATGAAAGGCGGGCTCAGGATCTCACGGATTTGATAGCTGGTCCGTCTGGTTCCCTTAAGAAGGGAGCGGGTTTTCACAATAAAAAAATAACTCTTTTCTGATTTCAAAATTTTCGCATTAAAAAAAAAATAATAAGAAAAATTGAATTTCAGATTTAAAAAATATATATATATATATATATATATATATATATTTTTTTATTATGGGGTTAGAGAATAGGGAAACAACAACCATAGCCCGAGTCAATCTTCTTTGATTCTTTAGGTGAAAGATCTGATCCGAGCATTTCATTTTTCAGGAAGTCGAGAACTCGTCGCAACAGAATTGGAAACAATAACCGAAATACACCTGAACCACGGGAAGAAATACCCGTCATCGTACAGGAGAATGTTGCTGCAAACAGCAGCTGGGGTACTTCAGGTGGATACCGCGGCTATAGGTGCAGCTGTAGGTGCGGCCGTGTTGCAAGGAGTTCAGCAGATGCTTGGACCATTTTTGGGTCAGATTCCAGCGGCTGCTGTAGCTCCGGGAGCAGCTCTAGATGTGTCCGCAGGTCAGCCACCAATGCAGGAAAATGTTGCACAAGATTTGCCACCTCCACCTCTGATTCAGGGGCCACCACCAGTGAATGGATTTCAGCCACATATGCCACCACCAATGAATGGATATCAGCAGCATATGTCACCAGCAGTGAATGGGTACCAACCGCAGGTGCCTACCTACCATGAGGTATTGAGGTTTATGAGGGAATTCAACATGGAGACTTACAGTGGTGGGACTGATTTCATGAAGACTGACTGCTGGAGGAAACTGTTGGAGCGTAACTTCGCATCGATCAGGTGTCCTGTTGGGTACAAGGTTGAGCTGGCAGTGCATTACCTGAGAGACGAGGCTTACGAATGGTGGGAATGAGTGATCTCAGGCATGGCAAGGGGGTATGTGATGCCATGGGATGATTTCACACATGAGTTCAACCGGAAATATTTTCCGCAGGAGGCTGAAGACCAACTTGGATCAGAATTTCTGAAGTTGGAGCAGGGAAATCGCACCGTGAGGAATTATGCTCAGGAGTTCAACCTCCTGAAATTTTTTGCTGGAAGAGACATGTCTGAGCGTTGTCTTGTTAAAAAATTTATGGAGGGATTACGGGTGGAAATCTGTAACTGTTATCAACTGGTGGACTATGCATCAGTGATTGACCTTGTTGAAAAAGCGGCACTGATGGAGAAAGGAATTGAGGACGAGGCAAAGATGGTAAGGGGTACTCAGTCCTGAGTAACCAGACAAGTGGACACTCAGCGGCAGTTTCAGAAGAACCGGGTGCCATTCAGGGTGTAGTGAGACTACCAGTTTATGGCAGATTTGAGAGATCTCACACTGGACATTATGGTGGTGATAACCGAGTGTGTTTTGGATGCGGTCAGATTGGCCACACAAAGCCATCATGCCCCTATGCGAAAACTGCTTGTACCCAGTGTGGACGGCTAGGTCACTTGGCAAAGGATTGTAGAGTAAGAACTGCAGGACATCAACAAAGGAATCAGAACAGGGATCAGCTGGCACCACCACCAAAGCGACCCACTTTAGCACCAAGAGTCTATGTTGCAGAAGTCGAGGACCCTGCCGAAGATGTGTATGGAGAGGATTACGAGTATGTAACTGTGGATGACGACGATGCAGAACCGAGCGCTGCTAAGTCCTTTTGTTTAGCATTTGGAATTGCGTAAATATGTATTTAGAATTCTATGTGAGTCCTTCTTGGTGTCGAGTCCCTTCGATTTAGAAAACCGTGTAGGATCGGTTTTGGTGGAAATGATTGCAGCTAACACTTTGTTTAATACGGGTGCTACACACAGATTTCTGAGCCTTAAATTAACAAAGTATTAGGAATTCAAAGGCGAGTTTGTGAAAAAGGCAAGAAAAGTCGAAACCGGTAGACCGAAGGCCATCATATCTCAACGAACCTGCAAAAATGTTCCGGTGATAGTAGAAGGTGTTGAGATACTTGCAGATTTGATTGAAACGCCACTCAACCGATATGAGGTCATATTGGGAATGACATGGCTGAAACGTCATTGAGCTGTGTTGGATTGTCGGAGAGCTAAAGTTAGCTTCACTCGGGCGGAAGGTGATAACACTGTATTTTGACCACTTTTATGGATCATAATGATGTCTTATGCAGGTGTTTAACTCTGTTTCAAAAGATTTTAGGAAACTTGGACAAAAGATATGCAATTTGGAACAAATCAGCAATTTTAGATATATGCAGACCGTCAGAAGTATGGCAAGAGATGAAGACCTTCTCACCGTCTGATCACCCCCAAAATTTGTGAAAACATAGTGGATACAACCAACTTTCTAATGCTCTTGGTTTAATGACAATCCAACGGTTAGATATTCAGATACCCCCAATGCAATAAAGACAGAAAATGCAGTCTCGGAAGGAGGACACAAGCCAAGACCGCGGCCAAGCTATATTTCCCCACGGGTAGGAGCACCGCGACCACAGACAGTAGTCACTCACTTCCTAGACAACCTAATTAAAGCCCCAATCGATTCCCTTTATTTTTTGAAACCCTAAGTGTCCACGACAACTCCAGAAGCTATAAATACCCTCTTTAGGTCGTTCTAAGCGGGAGAAACGAAGGAGACGACAGACTTAGAGAGAGAGAGAGAGAGAGAGAGAGAGAGAGAGAGAGATTTTGTGTGAAAACATAGGGAGGCCGCCGTCTTCGAAGAGAGCCGTCGAGGAGAGCTGATAACTTAGAGTTTTCAAGGCTCTAAATGAGGGGTTATCAATCCCTTTTGTTACTTTGCAGTACAAAGGGTATCAATCCATCATGTGTAGACACTAAGATGCAGTATCAGTTCTTAATTCAAGCCAAATGAGTGAAGTTTTGATGATTAATGACATCTAAGAATGGAAAAACAAGGATTGAAGCTAATGATCAACGTAAACAAGCAAGTAAATGAGCTAAATGAGATGAGAATGTATGTATGATGATGAGAAATGTCTTAGACATGATAGTGGATTAGGGTGCCTTAAGTGTTAAACTAGTGAGCTAATGAATCGTGTGATCAAGCAAACCATTCAACTTAAACATCATTAATTAAGTTAATCC